TGATTGTTGTTGAAAGCACTAAGCCAATTATGAAGAAGTTGAGCCAATTATGCAAAAAAAAATAAAATTTAAAGCACTGAATAATTGTAACCCTAAAAATAATTAATATATAATATCCTGTGAAATGTACAATGCAAGTCATAGTGAAATATACAGTGCAACTTAGTATATACATAAGCACATATACCAAAAGAAATATGATGAGAAAGCACTGAAAGTCGAGCAAGCTGCTTCTTTGGGAAACAAAATGGTACTTTTTTCATAAAAAGAATATCCAGTGCATTAATCAACTCTACATGCTTCAAAAGCAGCCCTTAGCATATTAGAAGAACATGAAATAAGACTTGATCGTCAAAACATAGACATAGATGGTCCACTAAACCCATTATTTTTGCATTCATTGCATGTCTTACACGAATCTAAAAGTAAAAAAATTAAATTTAACCAAAAAAAGTTAAATATGTCAACTTAATTATTAAAACCTATAAAAATAACCGTAAAATAAGTACATACCTTCGTTTGTATGACCGAGTGTTATCAATACTCTTGGTATGTATATGTGGTGCCATTAATTTAGAGGATGGGATAAATCCTATAGATATTAGATCATGAATAAAAGCATAAATAAAAGGCAGACAATTCATTTCAACAACAAGAGGCAGGCTGGCTACTATGCATAAATAAAAGCTCCTAACATACATCATAAACTGAATTATTTACAACAAGCAGGAAGACACAGAGTTTTTCTCCATTTAGCCTTGAGCACAAGGCTGTTTCTGTACAAGTAGACATTGATAAACTAGTATGATATAGTGCAGTTAATCAAAGTGAGCATTTAAAACATAAATTGGAAGAAAAAGTCTAGGAAAAATGGAAATAAACCTCAAGTCTAAGGATATCACTTGAATTTTGTGTTTCATAAACCTGCAGAGTCCAAGAATAAAGAATAAGTGCAAGGATAAAGAATAATGTGAAAGTGTAAGGATAATAGAAATTACAATTTCATGGAAGCTTTCCCAAGTCCTCGGGAACAATTTTTTAAATGTTTGAAAATTTTTAAGCACTTGCTTATTGCGAGAATGGATGATCTTACAGCAAATTTATCATATATAAGAATAAGAATAGAAAACATGCATATTTATCACATATATGTATAAGAATAGAAATCATCTATGATGAAAATTTAGATTCAACAAATACAGTTTCACGGGTTGGATTGTCCAGCAACGAAATAGCACACCCAGTGTTATTATGATCAAATAGGACTTCTTCTATGCAGTTAGAAGTCATCAACGTTAGGTGCTTCTTGAAAAAATATTGTGCAATTAGCAAAGTGTTACATACCTACTACAATTTCAAATAGGTAAAAAAGTGCAGTAAGCAACTTGTAGTATTGTAATAAAAAGCAAAAAGAGAAGTGATATTAGTAATTATATTTTTCTAACCAGTTCACTTGAAAGGTTCGTATTAAGTGGTGTGACATAGTCTTTTAAGTAGTCTCGAGCAATAGGAACGTCTGATAACTCCAACTTCAAGACCCTTTCTGAACCAGGTGGAAGTTCTACATAGTTATTTAAACCAAAATCAAGCACTTGTTGTGTTTCAAGTTTTTTCAGAAAATCATCTTGTTCTTGTGTAAGCTAACAAAAAAACATAAAAATATATAATCCCAATTAGTAATTATAATTATAATTCCAGTTACCAATAGTTAGAATTATAATACTATGTGAATAAATTATACTTACAATATACTTTGGATATTCCAGTACTTCCATACTTCTAGAAGTACCTTCTGTTGCGACACAAATGCAGAGATGGAGTAAATTATCAGCCATCTAAAATAAACATATACAGTTTAGGGGATTTGTGGCGACTAAAATGAGGAATGGAAACGAGTAAGGTAAAACATTTAGTGAGCAGAAACAGAGTACAAGAAACCAAGTAGAGAAAACGAACTACAGCCTACATGCATTGCAAGATTACATTGACCTGTAACTCTTTCCATTTCATTTGTACTTCAATCAATCATCAAAAATCACAAAAAAAATATTGCATCCATGGAATATTGATGAGAGAGAAGGAAGTGGGAGGAGATATAAATGTTGTACAGTCAAATAAGAGAAGTAACCGCGTGCGTGCTTGATAGGAGACTTGAGAGAGAGTGAACAAAAGGAGGCTTGAGGCCTGAGACAGGGAGAGCCAGAGAGAGAAGGACAGGGAGGCTTAAGACAGAGAGAGAATGAAAGGAGGGCTTGAAAATTATTTTAAGGTGGTTGAAAATAAAAAATTTATTTGACTTATTTTAAATACTAATAGATAAAGTATATAAATCAATACCAAATTACTTTATTATATTCTACTGTTACACATAGTATTGTGACGACTCTTTACCATGACATTGTATCCTGTTAATTCAATATATTTTTAGAATAAATTTTTCAAAATATAAATAAGATCTCTCATTTCATTCATCACTTACATTGCTAAACAAGTGAGGGTCAAAACCACTCGCAAAATCAAAGCCTCATTGAATTGTGATCAAATAATCAGTTATATAAAATATTTAATATACAAGTAAACAAATAAACTCATTGCCTCCTTGAAACAAATTATAGTGGGATGAGTGGTTGATAATTTCGCGAAGCCACATTCTCATCGATCTGAACTTGAACAATTAGGGTTCTTCATCTTCAAACTAAAAAAATGACTCAATGAATTAAGAAATTTTTTTTTACTGAATAAAAAATTGCGGACTAATGTAATATTTTAAATGTCTCAAAGACTAAAATAATGAAAGCAGAAGCTGAGCTGAATAACAACGTGCTAATGATAACTTTTATTCTTTTAATGTGCCAAATAATTAAGTATTTATTTTTTATCCAAATTCATGTTATAAACCATGACGTGATCCTAGCTAAAACAATCTAAGACTAATCCATTCGCAATTTGCAAGTTGCAACTGCCGCTGGTACAAGTGAATTTTACACACAAACAAATTTGATTAAATGACTTATATTAAAAAAATATTTCTTTTTAATTTTTCTAATGTAATATTATATTTATATTATAATTATTTAATATATTATTATAAATTTTATGAGTAATAAATAGACTATTTTCTAATAAATTATCTTTTTATTTAAGCCTAACTTATTCAATTAATGATTTTTTTAAAAAAATTTAATATAAAATAGAACAACTCGTGCTAAATTTAAAAAAAAAAGATTACAAATAGGACAAATTGATGTATTTTTTTTTATCTTTAAGGTATATTTTTAAATATATTATTTATTATGAATTAAATTTATTAAAAATATATATAAGTCATGTTAATTTTTTTCTTTATTAATAATTTTTATTTTTTTAATTTATAATAAAATTTAATGGATTAGTGAGAGTATAACAAGTATATTCATAATGAAAACAGTAATAATAAATATAGACCATTAAATTTTATTTAAATAATTAATATAAAAATGTATATAGTTTTTTTATTTAATGACATATTCATTAACTAACTCTAAATCATATAATATTAACTAATTATTGATGTATGCTATATATTTATAGTTTTTATAATTTTAAAATAACCATGATTTTCTCCAAATATGCTCCTATACACACAGTGATGACAAAAATATATGCAGTAATGAATATTAGTAGATAAAAATTCATTATAAGTAAAAATACTCGTAATTTTAAATACCTACGAGTTTAAATAAACATTTTTTTAGCCGTTTGTTTTATTAACGGGGCAGGTATGAAAGTGGCGGTAGATAACCATATATATAACACTATTTAAATGTCCTTATCAAGCGAGCATATTTCAAAATATATTATTTTATAAAAAATTGATATGTGACTAACTTAATGTTTATTGTTATTATTATTATAATAAGATATTGTACAGTTTTCATAATTTAAGAGTTTTATTTTTTAAAATTATAATTTTAGATATAAATAACTTTAAATTTTAAATTATGTTATATTTGAGATTTTTTTAAAAATATTCACAAATATTGATGAATGTCTTACAAAACAAATTTGTTGTGTGCAAGTAGAGGTGGTTGGTTCTTACTATCTATGCCGTCATTTTTCCTAGACATCTCTATATACACATAAATGTTAACGATGAATATAGATTATTAGATATTATTTGAATAATCAACATTAAAAAATAAATATAAATAATTATTTTTAAGTAATTATGTAATCATGTTTTAACTTTTAATATTAATAATTTATATATAGGTGTATAATTTAAAACTTATTGATTCTCAAATATCATACTAAATATCTAATTAATTCAAGTCAAATTATGTTGGGATGATATTTTTCTTCTAAATTTTTAATTTAGTTATAATTTCTACAACTCAAGTCACTTAATTAAGCTGATATAACTTATTATTTCTTGATACTTGATACAACGTTAATCAATAATGCTAATAATATTTGAGAGTCTTTTATAAAATCTAAATAATTTTAAGCTACATTATTCTTTTAATCTTTTAAAATATTAGGGCTTTTTATTTACCTTTTTTTTTAAATGTATAATTTAGCTTTTGTAACATTTTTTTTCTATTTTTTTTAATCTATTTAGTGCCTTTTTCCTACTTTTTAGTTTTTGCAAATATCACTTTTGAATAATTTTTTATAAATTGTATGTAGTTTTGTTTAATTATTTATTACAATGACAGCCTTACATATAAAAAATTCTATAGGAATTATTATATTTTTAAAATGAATAATAACATTTTAAAAGTAAGAGACTAAATGATTTTTTAATATATATTGAATGATACATAATAAATTATAAGTTTTTGTAAAAAAAATATAGTTTTTATTAATATATTAAATTTTATAATATCTTATAATTTTTAAGAGAAAAATTAATAATTTTTAATAAATTTTTAATGTAAAATATGACTTCATATTTAACAGATTGCATGTTCGATTGCATCATCTCTACCACTAAATATTTAGTAAAAAAAAAAAAGTTTATATCAATTATTAATTCAAGTTCAGCACTACCAACCAAAAAAAAAAAAGGGTTCAGACACCAACGTGGAGAAAGCTCGTTGACGTTATCATTTGCTAAGATTTGATAATTCAATTGGGTCATAGCTCCGTCTCAGTACGGAAATGGCTTTGAGGCTTATGATTTCGCAGGTTAGTTTACTCTTATTCCTCAATCAAACGCATCCACCGTGAATGCTTTCCTTGTTTTTGTTGTTCATAGAACCCTAATTTTAGCTTTTTTATACAATTATCTTACTGATTTTCATACCCTTTCTCTTTCTTCCGTTTTCTAAATTTTTTTCACTTGAATGGATAATGGGTCTAATGGGATTTTTCTGGCTTTGATTCATGATAAGGAAATTTTAAACCTTTTTGCTATAGGAGGGAAAAAATCAAAGGTTCTTTAAGTCAATATAGACCTGATAGGAAATGATTGTCTTTATTATGATTTTTTTAGAGCATTGAAGATTGTATCCATCTTGATTTTAGCTTGTTGGGTTATATGATTCTTTGTGTATGGGGCTGTTTGCTTTGTAACTGATGAATGAAGATCCTGTGGAGGGTTCAAGTTTCAGCTATGAATAGCACGCTTTTAACTTATTATTGTTCATCTTTTCTTGTTATACACTTCTTATTGAAAATGGTGCAAGACACTTGGCAAGGAAGAAAACTTGAACTTGTGTATGTTGGAGGCATTGTTGATTAAATGTCTTATTTTGCATGATATCAGTTGTCATATGTAGTTTATATCATGTATTCCATTTCTGTGTCAATTACTTATATAATTTATTTACCAGGCTGCAAGGCGTCAATCAGAATTTGGACAGATAAAAAATTTGTTGGTTAGAAGCTATTTTTCTGTCAACAAGTTTGGGGATCGCATAGGTATACATCCCTTCCTCATGTACAATGCATTATTCTTTTTGTTAATTTCATGTCAGTTGCTTATAGAGTATCTGTTAAAGACCCAAAGTATAGAAGAAGAATAAATAGGGAAAATGAGAGAATATATGTTTTATTCCTCAAAATGAAATAGAAATACAGTAGGATGATGGTTCCTAAAATTCCTAGTGCCACAGAGCAAGCTCCTTCAGAGAGGTTAACACCCCTTGGTCATAACAAAATTCCAAAATATCCAAGACTTTTCTCTCTCCTCACTCTCCTTTTCCTATATTCCCATTAGTTCTCTCACTCATTAGCTAATTCTGTTATACACTTTGCCACATCAACACTTCTTTTCGTACCCTTGTTTCTCCTCTCATACACTCTCCAAATCTTGGGCCTATTTTCAAAGTCTAAGCCCATATTCCCAGTCCTAACAATACCCGCTTCTTCAATAGGAGCCTTGTCCTCAAGGCTCAAGTGAGGAAGCTGACTTCTGACGTTGAATTCCTCTTCCCACGTGACATCTTCCAATCCTTGCCCCTTCCATTGGATAAGCACTTGACTAACAAAGTCCTCTCTCTCTTTGATCAGCCTCTTTGTTAGCATAACTTCAGGTTCCAAACTTATTCCATCATCACAAGCCAACTCTGGAGGAAGTTCATCTTGCACATTATATTTCCCCAAAGCTTCCTTAAGCAAAGATACATGAAAAGCAGGATGTATCTTGGTTGCTTCAGGCAACTGCAACCTATAAGCTACTGCTCCAACTTGTACCAGCACGTTAAATGGTCCATAATAACATGCAGCCAACTTAGGATTAATACGAGACCCCACAGTTAGCTGTCCATGGGGTCGAGGCTTGAGAAATACAAAATCTCCTACTGCAAACTCACGATTTGTCCTCTTCTTATCTGCCTGATCCTTCATTGTAGTCTGGGTTCTATTCTGGGCCTGCTGCAATTGTTACTTCAATTGTCTGAGAGTTATTTATGTCCATCAACTCCCTTTTTACTGCTTCCACTCTTACCTCTCCAGGAAGAAATCGAGTTATCGTAGGAGGTTTTCTGCCATAAACAACCTCAAAAGGTGTTCTCCCAGTGGAAGGATGAAAATTGGTGTTATACCAATATTCAACCCACAAAAACCAATGCACCCACTGCTTTAGTTGGTCTGCCATGAAACAATGCAGAAACATCTCCAAACAATGATTAACCACTTCAATTTGGCTATCTGTTTGCGGGTGATAAGTGGTGCTCATTTTGAGGGCTGTACCTTGAAGCTTGAACAACTCTTTCCAAAAAGTACTGACAAATATTGGGTCTTTGTCACTGACTATAGAAGCTGGAATTCCATGTAATTGCACCACTTCACGAGTAAAAATCTCAGCCAATACACAAGCAGCGTAGGGATGATTTAAGGGAATAAAATGAGTATACTTGGATAGCCTATCAACTACCACCAAAATAGCTGCATAACCTTTGGATTTAGGTAGACCATTTACAAGATTCATACAGATTTCTTCCCATACCTGCTCGTGAATATTCAAAGGTTGAAGCAATCCTCTTGGGGCAGCAGCCAAGTATTTTTGTTTTTGGCACGCATCACACTTCATCACAAACTGTTGGACTGTCTTCTTCATACCAAACCAGAACACATTAACAGCCAACCTCTATAGGTACGGTTATAACCTGAGTGACCCCCTTGAGGAGTCTCATGGAATTAATGCAGCATCTTGGGATCCATGAGGAGTTAGAAGACAATACTAACCTCCCCTCATAAAACAGCATTCCCCTTTTGTATTCAAATCCTGGTATGGTCTTCCTGTCCCTGTTTCAAATTTGATATAATGGACATCAACTTTGCAGCTTTATGCACCTCTTCCATTATTGCCTGAACTCCATCCCATTTAGGATAGTGAACTACTTGCTGCAATTCAGCTTCACCATATCTGTGTGAGAGAGCATCTGCTCCTCTATTTTCTGGACCCGGCATATACTCAATATCAAACTGATAGTTCAACAACTTCGTAGCCCAGTTCTGCTGATCCACTGTAGTTACCCTTTATAGGAGTAGCTGTCTCAAACTTTTCTGATCCATTCTCACTGTGAATTTTCGCCTCAACAAATAAGACCTCCAGTGCTGAATAGCTAAGGCCACAAACATTAACTCTTTCGCACAGGTCGACTTGGACAGATTTCTTTCTCCCAAAGCCTTGCTAAAATACGCAATTGGCTTGCCACCTTGAGTAAGAATAGCACCGATACCTTGCCCGGAAGCATCACTTTCAATCACAAACTTCTTTTGAAAGTTAGGTAAAGCTAACATAGGGACTGTAGTTAGTTGCAATTTGATCCACTCAAATGCTGTTTGTGCTTCCGCATTTCATTCATCTAAACCCATCTTTTTTTGTTAAAGCAAGTAGTCTTGCTCTTTTTCCATAATCCTCAATGACTTCCCGTAGAAACTAGTTAGCCCTAAGAAACCATGCACTCCCCTCACATTTGTAGGTACTGGCCACTCAATCACACTTTTAACCTTGTTAGGATCTACTGCAACTCTGTGCTTTGAAATAATATGGCCCAAGTATTCCACTTCTTCCTTACCAAAAGCACACTTCTTTTTATTAGCTAGCAATTGTTGTTGCAGCAAGGTTAACACCTCTTGCAAATGATGTAAATGTTCTTCCCAACTAGCACCGTATACTAAGATATCATTAAGGAAGACTAGCACTGTCCTACGCATCATGGTCTTGGAAACATCATTCATCAAAGATTGAAAGGTTGAGGTGCATTTGTACGGCCAAAAGGCATTTAACATATACTCATAATGTCCTTCATACGTCCTAAACGCTGTTTTGTGGATATCTTCCTCTTGCATTCGAACTTGGTGAAAGCTCGATTTCATATCAGGGTTAGAGAAATATTAGGCTCCATGCAATTCATCTAGAAGTTTGTCAATCACTGTAATGAGGAATTTGTCTGGATTATTACTTTGTTCATACGTCCTAAACGCCATTTTGTGGATATCTTCTTCTTGCATCCGAACTTGGTGAAAGCCCAATTTCATATCAGTCCTAGAGACTTAGGCTCCATGCAATTCATCTAGAAGTTCGTCAATCTCTAGAATGGGGAATTTGTCTGGAATTAACATCTTGTTCAATGCTCTGTAATCCATGCACATGTTCCAAGAATCATCTTTGTTCTTCACTAAAATCATAGGGCTGGAGAAAGCACTTTGATTGGGTCATATCACCCCTGATTGCAATAGTTCAGCAACTTGTTTCTCAATTTTGTTCTTTTGATGGTGTGAATATCCGTACAGCCTTACATTCATTGGACCTAACCAAAATTAATGGCATGTTCTTTGCTACGTCTTGGAGGCAAACCTCAAGGTTCCTTGACAACAACCTCAAACTGATCTAACAAGCTATTCAACTCTTCCATTTGAATACCACTCTCCATTACCCTGTCTGCTTCAGCTGTTAGTATCAACTCAGTAGACCATAACAAGCCTTTGATCATATGCTTTCCTTTGCATATCAAAATTTGAATGTAGTTTGACCCCGCTGTTTGCAGCCCTCTCCTTGTACCTTGGCCCATTGATTTTGCCATTGGAATTGTAACTTTTGTTGTTCCCAATCAACCACCATCTCACCTAATGTTGCCAACCACACAATTCCCAATATAAGATCGATTCCGTTCAAGTCAAACAAGACTGTTTCAACAGTAAATTTCAGTTCTCTAATTTCGAACTCCGCTCTTGGACAGAACCCCTGTTAGCCTTGTTGCCATCAGCAAGTTTGATATTCATGGGTTTAGTATCTTCAACCTCCCATCCCATAGCTTGCACGAGCTTCTTCAAAATGAAGTTATGTATAGCTCCACTATCTACCAAAAGGAGGGTTGAGACTCCATTGATTTGGGCCTTGACTTTCATAGTCTAAGGTTTCTGCTCTAGTACTACTAATGCACTACCTAGGAACATCACTGACATTGATGATTTGGATGAAAGGGATCAACGCATTTGTAGCATAGACCCTTTCTCTTCCGATCAGCCAACTCTTGGTAGGACAAGTGGTGCACCCCTTGATCCCTAGGCCCAAAACAATGTTGCTCGTTGCCGGCTTTCGCTTTCACCCTCCTACTCACATTTTGTCCTTCATGGTGTAACCCACTCGGACCAAAGTCCAATACTGACCCACAATCTGGCCCATAAAAGTTAGTTGAATGGGTTGGGCTTGTTAAATACTTGGGCCTATGCTAGATTGGCCCAACACATTGTTTCCTTTGTTTCGATTTGACCGAAACCCTGACCACCCTCCTTTCCTCTCTTGCAATTCCAATTCTACAACTCTGGTCAAATGCATAAGACGTGAACGCGGTAATGGTCACAATGTTGCATACTATGCACACGTCCTTTGACGCCATCTTTCAATCAATACACAAAATACCCAAACTACTGGTCATCAGGTAAGTGTGGAATATGCGCTGTTAAAAGCTGAAACTCTCTAATATACTCTTCAACACTCTGCTCTTGTTGAATTGCTGCCAGATGCTCAAAGACATCACCCTCTCCACTTTCGTTATAACGCTCTAAGAGCTCATTCTTCAACTGCTCCCACGTTAAACCGGTGTGTTTGTCAATGAGACTTGAAGAAATGGATGGTCGACCCCTCCATACAAAGCTGTACCAGAGTCACCTTGATATCAGGATGAGTTTCCTGTACTTAAAAATGGATTTCAGCACGAACAATCCATCTTACTGGGTCATCATCGTTGAACATTGGCAACTCCACCTTCTTGACAGATCAAATGGGTCACTGTGCGGGCTAGTGTAATTGTTCATGGCTGAGCCATCTCCATTTGCCATTCTACTCTTTCTTGCTTCTCATGGTTCGAATCAGCCTTGAGTTGCATAACTTGCATCACGTTTTTTAGGCTGGCAACTTGGTGACCTTAGCCTCCATTTTCTTCAGTGGCATTCGCTAATTATGCCACTGGAATATGTCATTGTCTCGTTGGATCCAGTAGGTTGGACCAAATGTTAAAAGAACCAGAATATAGAAGAAGAATAAACAGGGAAATGAGAGAATATATGTGTTATTCCTCAAAATGAAATAGAAATACAGTAGGATGATGGTTCCTAACTTCCTATTGCCACAGAGCAAGCTCCTCCAGAGAGGTTAACACCCTCTGGCCTTAAAAGAATTCCAAAATATCCAAGCATCTCTCTCTCCTCACTATCCTTCCCCTATATTCTCCCCCTTCTCTCACTCATTAGCTAATTTTGTTATACCCTTTGGCACCTCAACATTTCTCTTCTCTTCGCACCCTTGTTTCACCTCTCATACACTCTCCAAATCTTGGAATTATTTTCAAAGTCTCAGCCCACATTCCCAGTCCTAATAGTATCAGTCTTCGCATTTGTTGTTTTTAATGTAAATTTTTTTTCCTAATTATGTTGCTTTGGCAATTAACTTTCTATAATTTGTTGTGTTGTAGAAATCTCTTGTCTTTTCATTTTTATCATTGGGGGAGGGGGTGGGTGGGGTTCTATTTGTGAAATAATTCATCCTTTTTTTTCCAATGTATGTTCAAATCAGAGTATCTTGATGTTATGTGCCATCAAAATTCTGTAGGGAATAGGCTTTTGTATGCCCAGGAGAGATTTCAGTCTAGCTACATTGGCAACTTAGCTCGTCGAGTGCGTGATGTAGATGAAGCCAGTGAAGTTGCATATCTCAAGGAACTATACCGACAGAATGATCCTGAAGCGGTGATTAGAGTATTTGAAAGCCAGCCATCTCTGCATACTATTCCTTCAGCTCTTTCTGAATACATAAAAGCATTGGTGAAAGTTGATAGGCTTGATGAAAGTGAATTACTGAAGACATTAAAGAGAGGTACCTTTTTTTTACTAGAATTGTTTATTTTCTTGATAAACTACTCTTTTTTTAGGCTTGTGATTTGCTCTGTGTGGCCTTTTTTTTTTGTCAACATTGGTTTATTGACCTCTTAAACTTGCTCAATGATATAAGGTTTTTTTCCAAACAGGCAACATATTTGGTTCTCTTATCTCTGCTTTGTTTCTGGGTTGTTATTTTTGATAGGGGTGTGAAGATGGCCAAATTGCATCTGCCAGCATTCACTAACAAAGCACACTTATTTTCATAAATTAGGTTGCGCGCACAAAATTTTAATATTTTGATTAGAAAGCTGGGTTACTTACTAATCTGTGAAAAGAAGGTATTTTTTCCTGGTTGTACCCTAATGAAAAAGTCTCGAGGCAAGAGTTCATTTCCTTTTCATTGAGAACTCTTCATTTGCTGAATGCTAGGATTTCATGTAGTCCTTCCTCCCTCCCCCCTCAAAAAAAAATAAAATCTTATCCACACACTTTTAAAGGTGTACATAGAAATCTTGTCTCATTTATGTTGAATTCTTTGATGACCTTAATTGTGAGAGAAATCATTATGGTGTTGATATATTATTGAAATAATAGGACTAATTGGTAAATCTTCTGTCCTTGATCTTGTTCCAATTCTTTGATGACCTTTATTGTGAGGGAAGTCATTATGGTATCAATATATTTTTGAAATAATAAATCTAATTGGTAAAGTCTTGTGTGCTTGATTTTGTATCTCTCAAACCAGTAAACCAGTCATTGTTTAGAATAATTTTTTAGGGTGTGTTTGGGAGTTAAGTTTTGGAGGGAAAGAGAGGAGTGGACAAAATTTTTATTTCTATTTAACATTGTCTAATTTCTTAATATTTTTGAAATAAAGGCCATAAAATGATAGATTAATATAATATTAATGTGTTAATATTTTTATTTATTTTTGTAAATATTATATAACTCTTTAAATTTGAAAATAAGATTTTTGTCCTCCCTTCCAAAATCCAACTCCGAAACATAACTAAAGCAAATTATTTTGTTTTCTTTGTGCCTATGATTCATTTGTCTGGTTGCACTGGTAGTAATTGATCTTTTCCAGGCACTATGGAATTCAATTAATGTCTTTCCCCACCAGATAAAAATAAAGAAAAGAATCTTATTTTTCTCCATGATGTAATTCTGCGTTAGGAATGTGATGCCTCTTTTGAATTTTTATGTAGTGCTAAGACAAGTGTTATTTTCTAAGACTACATGAACAAAATGATTTAAGATGGCAACTATATTTTACTGGCAAAAGATAGCATTCCAATTTATACCTTTCTCAACAGTCATATTCATTTTACTGAGCTATTTGGACATTTATTTCTTTAGTGTATCTTTCTGATATTAAATTATGACCATAGGTTTTATATGAATTTACAGGTATTTCCAATTCAATGAAGGAGGAAGAAAGTATAGCTGGTCTTTCTGCTTTTAGAAATGTGGGAAATTCAACCAAAGACCAAACTCTTGGAACTACTAATAATCCAATCCATATGGTGGCTACAGAAGGTGGGAATTTAAAAGATCAGCTATGGCGAGCAATTAGGTCCATTGCAGTGGTTTTCTTCTTGATTTCTGGTGTAGGAGCACTAATTGAAGATAAGGGAATTAGTAAAGGTATTGCCTTGTCAGTGTAATTTATGTCCTGTTCATCTTCATTTTTTATTGAATCTGAAATTAGTAGACATGTTCTCTGTGCTTCTTATTTCCTAGGACTTGGTATAAATGAAGAAGTGCGACCGAGTATGGAGTCAAATACAAAATTTAATGATGTAAAAGGGGTTGACGAGGCAAAGGCAGAGCTGGAAGAAATTGTTCACTACCTCCGAGATCCCAAGGTAGACATCTCTGGTATAAGTTCATGCTCTTCCCATTGCATACATTTCTAGCACTGTGCACTGAAGCTTGAATAAAGCGGATCTCTTCCTCTGGATAATAATGTCTAAACTCTAAATAACTTGCCTGTAATGTACACTTTTACCATGTTTCTTTTATTTCTTTTTATAGATGCTTCTACATCAGTATTTTGTTGGGGGTAGGGTTTTTCGGTAGAGTCTCACAAGGAGTAGGCACCACAATGTAACTCTAAAACCTTAAGCCTATGGACACATAGATCCATTTCCTTAAAGACCCTTAACTTGCTCATATCTTATTATATGTGAGACTAATTCACATTTGACTCCAATACTCCCCCTCAATTGTCAATCTATTTATATTCCATATCAGCTCCCTCCATAGCGGAAGTTTTCTCCATCACAAGTATCCATGGTCTACTACACTAGAGCAACCCTTACTCTCTTTCGCGTGAGTTGTTGTCCACTTAACGACACTGTCTTGGGCTCTACACCCTCCGCACGTAGGTACCACTAGCTCTCTGCTAGGGCTTATCTAGTGTCATCATTTCTTCTACGGTGCACTCTCACACTGAACTCACTTTTTGAGCTCTACACCCTTTGCACGTGGGTGCCACTAGCTCTTTGCTGGGGCTTATTTAGTATCACCGTTTCCTTTACGGTGTACTCTTACATTGAGACCATGGGTGCCACACTGTCGGCTCTCTATGCCGCGGCTCATCTACTCGTCTGAGCCGGTCACTTAAATTGACCTAGTTCTGATACCACTTTTGGGGGTAGGGTTTTTAGGTAGAAAGTCTCACAAGAAGTAGGACACCACAATGTAACCTTAAAACCTTAAGCGAGTGGGTACATGAGTCCATCTCCTTAAAGACCCCTAACTTGTCTATATCCCATTCCATGTGGGACTAATTCACACTTGACTCTAACATATTCATCAGGTACCTTTATTCCTTAGCTTTCATTGTGCCAAGCAAACATCAATATGCATGGTGCAGTTTGAGTTGGAGCAAGCTAGCGTGGCAGATTTGGGATTTTACTTCAGGATTATAACATAATTTATAATACTTGTTTCGCATGTGCTTACTAGTTACTACTTACATTGGTAGAGATAAACTGAGGAGTTTCTGTGAAAATCTTAAAAAATTTGGTGTCATATTCTAGATAATTTATTAGATAGGCTATTCAGAACCTGAATTCTGTTTAATTCCTCTTGATGTCATGCTTTTTTCATACTTTGTAGTTACATTTTATATGCTTTCTTCCTGACCACAGATACTGGCCTGTTCTTTTTCCTTATCATCTTTTTAATTGTACAATTTGTTTCCCTCGTGACAGCGCTTTACTCGTCTTGGTGGTAAGCTCCCTAAAGGAGTTTTGCTTGTTGGTCCACCTGGCACTGGAAAAACAATGCTAGCAAGAGCTATAGCTGGAGAGGCTGGGGTTCCTTTCTTCTCCTGCAGTGGAAGTGAATTTGAAGAGATGTATGTTGGAGTTGGTGCACGAAGGGTGAGGGATCTTTTTTCTGCAGCAAAGAAGCGGTCACCTTCTATAATATTCATCGATGAGATAGATGCTATTGGAGGAAGCCGAAATCAGAAGGATCATATGTACATGAAGATGACATTAAACCAGCTATTGGTTGAACTGGATGGATTCAAACAAAATGAGGGCATAATTGTGATTGCTGCTACTAATTTTCCAGAGTCATTGGATAAAGCATTGGTGAGACCTGGGCGATTTGATCGCCATGTTGTTGTTCCCAATCCAGATGTAGAAGGAAGACGGCAGATCTTGGAATCGCACATGTCAAAGGTATGCATTTACCACTAGTAAAGAATGTATCATATTTGATAGCCTTGGTTGGATTTGGTATGATTCCTGTTTTCAGAATTAGATTGTCAGTACTCTTATTATGTTGCTGCAAAACATTGCTGTTGTATGCTCTCTTTGGGCTATCATTGGCAATCCATCAAATACTTTTGTGTATGAGCTAGACCCATTTAGGTTGAAGTTGTTACATAAGGCGTTTGTTATATCCATTATTTGTATTTTATTAGAACACTTGTTCATATGGGTGTTTTCCTAAATTTGTTATTATTGTGAGAGCTAAAATATCTCGATCAACTAAAACTTTTTATGCTGGTTTTTTTTGTCCCAATCAAGTACAGGTTCTGAAGGCTGATGATGTTGATTTAATGATCATTGCTCGAGGAACGCCAGGGTTCTCTGGTGCTGACCTTGCAAACTTGGTTAACATTGCTGCTCTCAAGGCAGCAATGGATGGTGCTAAAGCTGTGAACATGGCTGATTTAGAACATGCAAAGGACAAGATTCTGATGGGGAGCGAACGGAAATCAGCTGTCATATCTGAAGAGTCACGAAAGTTGACTGCGTTCCATGAGGGTGGCCATGCGATCGTGGCCATTCATACTGATGGGGCCCTTCCTGTTCACAAGGCAACTATAGTTCCCCGTGGAATGGCTCTTGGCATGGTTTCTCAATTGCCTGACAAAGACGAAACCAGCGTCTCCCGTAAACAGATGCTTGCCCGGCTCGATGTTTGCATGGGAGGCCGGGTTGCCGAAGAACTAATTTTTGGAGAAAATGAAATTACTTCTGGTGCATCCTCAGATCTTAAGAAGGCAACAAATCTGGCAAGGGAAATGGTTACCAAATATGGTATGGGTAATGAAGTTGGTCTAGTCACTCATGATTACGATGATGACGGGAGAAGCATGAGCTCAGAGACTAGGCTTCTTATTGAGAAAGAGGTGAAGCAATTCCTGGAGAGGGCTTACAACAATGCCAAAACTATTCTAACTACTCACAACAAGGAACTTCATGCACTTGCAAATGCTCTTCTTGAGCACGAGACACTTACAGGAAGTCAGATAAAGGCATTACTTGCCCAAGTTAGATCCCAGAAACAGCAGCAGACACAAACAGTTGAAGCTCAGAGCAGTTCACAATCTAACACAGTGCCTCCATCATCCAGTCACCCAGCAGCCTCCGCCGCTGCAGCTGCTGCTGCTGCCGCTGCCACAGCTGCAGCTACTGCAGCTGCCTCCAAGGCTAAAAGTGCTCATGTGGGGTCTTAGCAAGAAAAGACACTGGTGACATGCAGCAACATGGCCACATGGCTTATATTTTTTTCCAGGTTTTTTGGGACTTTGTGGTTCAATTTCACTCGGTGGAACTTGACATAGAAGTGTATACATTGTTTGTACTTGTAGTGTACAATGAAAAATTAAGAGAGATTATCATTTATCAATTATCTCCAGCTCAATCAGTTACCCTCACTCAATTTCTTCAGACAATAAAAACGGTTACAAATTTACCTCAAATTGTTTCGTTCTTTCTCTCTTTTTTCCTCAGTGAGACCAACTGATTTTCATTGTTCTGAAATACTTCGTGAATGTTTTATATTTTCCTAAATATAAATGAGTAATATATACTAATATAAATATATCTAAGGTCTTAGAAGGTGTCATTTATTTATGAAAAGTGTTCCCACTCAAATGTATGGGTTCTTCATTCGTTGGAATGGCTTTTCCATCTAATGGCCATTGCTTCAGGCACCAGGGTTGGACTCTCCCCCATCTTTAATTTTGTAGAGTATATAAATAGTGTTGATGGTGGAAAATCTTAAATATCAATTATAACTCTGAATCTGTACAAGGGGTTTTAACACAATTCTTCAAAAATCTATGAACATTTTTCAGTGTTTCGCCCAAATCCACTACTAGAAGATAAGATAAATCTTAAGTTGAAGATTGAATACTCAACTCATTGCATTTTACATTATTCTCATTGTACAGCTGTACTAATTAATATGAACACATGATATAACGTAAGAGTTTTTTTGGCTGTCTCGAATTTTTATTTTTTATTTGTTTGTTTCAATTTAACAATTTTTAAAAAAATTTTGATAACATTTCTTACATATGTAATTTCATTTAAATTTTCAGTTTTCTGAAGTGTGGCACTACTAGCAATAACTACAGTCTCATGTTTCACTTTCATCTTTATTATGAGTGTTTCTGGAAACATCTATGATTGAGCTAAACTCTGATTAGAGGATGTTAACATTTTACTGATTTATTTATGCTAAATTGGATTTAGAAATTGGTGGTTGTTTCACATTCATATTACGTGCCTGATTCAAGAGATGTAATATGAGAGAAAGATACATATATTTTGAGGATTCCATAATTTTTGTGAAATTTACAAAATGCACGTATCTTTTTTTTTCCCTTAATAGATTAATCCAATAACTGAAGAGAATTTAAACTCATATTATCTGAGGGTTATAATTTTAAATTCGGAATAAGAAGACATGGGTTGTACAACATTGATTTGATTTGGTTAGATTACAAGAAATCTAATTACAAAGCAGTTTTACAACTTATATATATATATATATATATATATATATATTGTAATTAAAAAAACTACATTACAATTTTAACATATACATAAAAAAAAGTCCACCACTCATTCTAATTTTTTTTGTTACAAATTAAAAATTTTACACCATTCTACTAATTAACGTTGTTATCTTACATAAATTAATCAAATTTTTAAAAGAGTAATGTAAATTTTCTAATACAATTTTTTGTATAACACACTTTATTATTAACTTACACCTATTTCTCACTTTTAAATTAATTTTTTTTATATTTTTAAAATTTTTAATAAATTTTAATTAATAATGAAGAATGTATTAAAAAATGTGTACAATTTTTTTTCCCCAACGATCACAAAGTGTGAAGAAGAATAGACTTGAGTCTTTTGGTTTGGAATTACTTCGTATTATCTGAGCTAACACAAAATAAAATAATAATAATAATAATAATTGTTAATTTAATGTATTGTAGAAGATTTACATGTACGAGTATGTAGGATTTTCTCTCTTCGTTCTGGATCAATTTAGGGTATCAGAGCTGCAACTTGCATTAATCTTTTTTGTTCACCAACTAGAGACCATACATATTGAATATCGCAATTCCTTTCGGCAACTCGTGGAATCGAAAAGTTATCACGCGGGATTGTTTTACGAGGTTTTGCTGCTTGATTTGTGACGGTGTATGTTACGTAATTACCCTAGAAAATGAGCGATTGTTGTGCAGAACGGAGAGTCTCTATACGAAACACCCATGGAGAGAATCTGGTGGGGATCTTACATGAGGCGGCTTCACCTGCACTTGTTATCGTGTGCCATGGCTTCCAATCTTCCAAGGTGGTTGCTGCTTTTCACATTTTTATACTATATATTTATAATTCAGGATCTGTTTGAAAGAGCTTATAAATACTTACGACAAACAGCTTAGAACTCTCGTCAGTTGTTATTAGCTTCTTGGTATAGCTTTTCAGCTTATCTCAATAAGTTTCATTTAGAAATCTATGATATAAGTTATTATGTTGAAAATGACTTTTTAAATAAGTGCTTAAAATAAGCAGTTATTCAAATACGCCCTGAGTACTAAATTTATCGGTGCTTGAGTATGTAACATGTTGAAACTGGGTGCATTGAACTAAAGGGTAGAATGATTTCATGAATAGGAAAGAATCCCAATGGTGAACATTGCTGCTGCCCTGCAAAAAGATGGAATCAGTGCCTTCCGCTTTGACTTTGCTGGAAATGGGTAAGCTTCGCTGTAAAGGGAAAAGAACATTAAGTTAGTGAATTGCTAATTTATTTAGGGAATATAAACAAATCTTTGTTTTTCTTTCTTCCTTTGGGTAGTTTGATTTGCTTGTATGTGAGATATCTTTTATACTTAATTATATATTTCTTTACATCTGCCTGGTGTCATTAGGGGTAGAAATGGTTTGGGTTAGACTAGACTTCACAAGATCTGAACGTGACTTATATTTGCCAAATCTGAAGTTGAAGTGTTGACCTATTTTCTTTAATATGGGCATCACTTTAAGGCTTGATATGGTCTTTTTAAAAGGTTGGCTTGGCTTGAAAACTTGTTTGAAAGGTTATAGTAAGGTCTTTTAAATAGGCCTATAAACCAACTTCTAAATATTTTAATGGGTCTAAGCTTATTTTTAGGTTAGTGAACCTTTAAATAGACTAACACATATATAATAACAGAAGGTTAAGTAAAAAATTAATATGAGAATAATATTTTTTATTATTTGTATTTATTTAAATGATTTTTTTAATGTGTACCTAAAAGTGCCTAATAAAAACTTATGTGTATCAAACTTTAATTAGAAATCACATGCTATCATAGAATTCAAGCATTAATAACATTACATACAACAATTTTCAATGAATACTTACTGTTATTGATTACTTAATGAAAAATCGTTATTTAAATAGGTCACTATTTTAGGCTTAAAAGACCTTTTGAATGGCCTAAAGCCAGTCTTTTCAACCGAACAGACTTTTAAAAGAGCCTTAGCCTAACGTAGTTGATAAATAGGTCTAGTTTGCCCTTGGCCTAATGTGAGCTAGGCCATAGATTCCTGATGAGCAGCTTGACTTATTCTTATCCCTTAGTATAATCGATAACTCAGATTTTTAAACTTCATGTTTATGTGTATAATATGAATGTTGGAAATCTTTTAGTTTTTTTAGGAGATATTCAGTAAAACAGAGAAGAAATTTACAGTGCATTTGGAGGATAACTTGGATAAGGGATCCTCCTTAACTAAAAGGCAAAATATTGTCATACATCAACTCTCCTAAAAGCATGGACAGTTAGAGTAAGGTTTGCGGATGACTTTTTATTACATCTCTAACTAGCGCAAACAACAAATAAAAAAGAAAACTTCAGTGGAGCAAAGAACAAATAAAGTGATGACAACTGCTTTTTCATCTGTAATGAAGGCAAACAACAAGTGAGATTAGGTATACCTGTTATGGACTGTATATTTCAAAAAATGGAGGGTGGGGAAAAGAAGGGAAAAATAAAATCCCCTGTATAATGGAAGGAAGGCAAAAGTTATAGGGGAGGAATTTTGGCCCTCTATTTTTCCCCCTCCATTTCCATGTAACCAAACATTATGTCAGGGAAACCCTCTTAAATTGATCATGTGCTTGCCAATAGAATCTAATCTAAACACCTAATCTTTAACCCAAATCAGCCGCTGTGTTGAAGAAACCTTGTTAAAGATATAAAGTTTCTGCCACAACCAAATCTGCCAAATAGTAGCATAAATTACACTTTGCAATAACGTTTATGTTTTAATGTCCTATTTACGTACAAACAAAATTTTGTCTCCCTTTCATGGCTTCATTTTTTCTAAAACCAAGACTGAAATTTATGAATCCACATTCAAAATGAAGGGGCAAGTCTGTTATAAACTTGAATGTAAAAGTTATTCTACCTTGGAGGTAACATGAGGGTGTGTGGTGTGCATGTTGTTCACAATACTGGACAAAAAATGTATTGAATTATAATTATGTTACAAATAACTCTACTTTCTTTTAGGGAAAGTGAAGGTTCATTCCAGTATGGTAACTACTACAGAGAAGTTGAAGATCTGCGAGCTGTAGTTCAACACTTCCGTGAGGAGAAATATGTAATTACAGCAATTGTTGGTCACAGTAAAGGTCAGATTAGTATTATGCGTATCATATGAAATTGAAGTTATTTGTGGACTGAACATAGTCAACAGACAACATGTATGAAATACTTCAGTGACAGTTTGAAATTGTTTTCTCTCCTACCCAACGTAATGAATTTGGTTAAATGATGTTTTTTGTTAGTCTCTCCCTAATTAATGTTATCAATATTCTCAAAAATGTTTTACTTTGAGTGCTTAATAATCAAGGTGAGACTGTAAGTCTCATGGAATTAGTACAATTATCTCAAGGTAATTATTTGAAATTGTTAGTACAATTATCTTAATGTAAATTTTTGAATTGTGTTCACTGAGAATACAGGTGGAAATGCAGAGAGAGAAAATTTAGATCTCTATTTGGTTTTTCATTTCTGTGGAGAAAGCTTGTGATGACGCTGTTGCGGTGGTAATATGATTATTTATCAGAGTAAGGTGTAGCTTTGATCTATAGGTAAAGATGAAGGAAAATTACCCAAACTATGGTTTGGACATGCACAACCTAGACGGAAAAATTTTAGAATTAGAAAATTGAGTATGAAAAACTGATTAAGTTCATATTGTTTAAACTGAAGATATAGTTGTACAGTTTTAGCAGAGAATGTATACTTCGTAGGGTTTGAAGATAAACTGAAACTGATGTTCTTTGTGAATGTAATAGAATTTTCTCTATATAAGTCTCTCACTATAATGGTTTCTGCAGGAGGTAATGTCGTTCTGTTATATGCCTCAAAATATAAGGATATTCATATCATTGTCAATATCTCTGGCCGCTTTAATCTAGCAAGAGGGATGGAAGGTCGCTTGGGCAAAAATTTTATAGAAAGGATCAAACAAGATGGATTTATAGCTGTTAAAAATAAAAGAGGTGAGTTATGAAATGCAAATAATCTTTTGAATTCTATTCATCTATCATTTCTGATTTTTTATCCGCAAGTGTTGTTGGTCAAGAGTTTTCATGCTGCTTTGTTCATGTTGCCATGAACATCCTGAGTTGAGGTTCTTGTGGTTGTAATAGAGTCTTGGTGTTGAATGGTCACATCTCTTCATCTTGCTTTTGTTTCATTTTTTAAACAACCTTTCCAGCTTCCTCTTGATGTTACAATGTAGCAGCTGCTGAAAAACAGTCTTTGGTGGTTGCCTGTGATTTCCTTCTTGTCATTTTACTTCATGATGGACCTTTCTGATTAACATCTTCCTTTGTCTTGCAATAGGAAAGATTATGTATCGTGTTACTGAAGAAAGCTTGATGGATCGCCTATCTACTATTACCCATCTTGCTTGCCTATTAATTCCTCATGATTGCAGGTAGGGTTTGTTATTATATTTATATCTAATAACGTGCATCGTTGAAAATGTTGCTAATTTGCTACCAATTGCTTCATGTATAACTGTTCCATTGCTAATCACTTCATCAATGTTGATAGTGTGTTGACAATTCATGGATCCATGGATGAAACTGTACCAGCAGAAGATGCTTTAGAGTTTGCAAAGTTCACATCTAACCACGAATTGCACATCATCGAAGGAGCTGATCACGAATATTCTCATCATCAAGATGAGTTGAGCAGCTTAGTTTTGGGATTTATCAAGGTTCATACTGATAAAGACAATGATACATCTAAGCAGACACATTTTGGAAGAGTAGATAAACCCATTCATTCACGACTCTAGTTTATAGATTAAGCAGATTCGACACCCCTTTCTTTTAAACCATCCTTCTTACAAATGAAGTCACGTTCTTGATAAGTAGATCAACAAGAGAGAGGGATAAACCCCGTCCCATATTTAACTTCCCAAGTGCCCATCTTGCAACTAATAATTAGCTACAGTCAAAGTTAAGAAAGAAAATTGACTAATGCTGCCTAAGTTATTGGACCTCAATAGTGGCACACCTGACAATAATTGCTGCATCATTATTGCCAGGTTGTCTATCGACAATAGACTCTCATCACTGCTGTTAAAAGTTTATGCTCTTGCAGTTGCTACAGATGAGTGATGAAATGAACATCACAAGTATGAACATGGCTCATCTGGTAGAAAATATGAAGCTAAGCTGATTTAATTCTCATTTCTGCTGATGAGCGGCCTCAGCTAACAAGTAATTAAAAAGGGCAACTGTCACAGCAATTTATCTTGGAGATTGACTACTACGTTTGTAATTAGAGTCCAGACTCTCCCTGACGCTGTGTAAAGATTTACTCATCCCCATAACATTTTTGCACATTTCGTTTGTCCCCCATAACGCTTTCTTTTTCGTTGCCTTTATACTCTTTTGGGAAAAACATCAATACAACCCAATATCATGTTTCAGAAATGAATCCGGAAAAGACTATGAAAGTGCAATATGTTCCAGGTTGAAACTTGTATTTCTTTAGACTATGTACCTTACAATCTTTTTCGAGTCAGGAAAATTCAAGGCATGATAAATTCAAACTTGTATTTGGTATGCTTTTTTGTGGCTCCCGATTATGACATGTTTAGATAGAACGGGAAATAAGGGAATGGGATAGGATCTTAGTCCCACCAGAGTTCGAAAAGACTAGGAAATGGAGGGAGACGTGAGGACACTGGTGATCCATATTGGCCAGTGGTAGTTAAAAGACATAGCTTCCTTAAATTGATCTAATAATAAACGCAACCAATTTTTCATTGTACATTTAAAATACATCAAATTGATCGGTATCAGCTATTATTTATTTGAAATTAAGTTGGACTTTTGAGAAATCAGTTCAATTGAATAAGCTATGGAATACGGATTTTGAGTGTGTGTGAGTGATTTCTCATAATGGTTCTTTTCCATTCTCTTAACTTTTTTTCTACCAACTAGTAAGGCTTATTATAAGTTTCTTCTTAGACCAAAAAGAAACAGTTGGATTTCTAAAAGGATGAATTTGAGTATGCATTTGCTTCTTTTTTAAGCACTTATTGACATCTTTGAACCCATATTAAAGCGTTCAAATATATTTATGTAGAATATGTGAGTGAGGTATCACGATCCTTTTAAGTGTAAATTTTACTGTATTTAATGGTTGAGATTAAATGCAGTGGTAAAGTTACTGCAGAATATCTCTTTCCGTGAGCGAGGGTTACGCTGAAGTTTTCTATTAATACCTTTCAGCTTCTCATCCTTCACCACACATCCAAGCGAAAGAAAAATAATCCAATTTTTCTTATATTCCTTCCCTTGTTAACTCAAGTTATTCTTCCATTGTCTTAGGCTGTCAGCCTAGTTTTCTTTTTCAACCTGTCAACGTAGATAAACAATAAATAACAATGGATAGACATATGGATATTGAACCGGAGATAAGGTTGGTCCATCAAGACTATGAATTGTGAAAATGATTCCTTGGCTGGTGAGTTACCAGATGTGGTGCTAAATGAGATTGATAAATCAGTTCATCTCATAGCTTGTCTTGTATTTTTTTGTTCGCCATCCAATTTCTACGGGCATTATTGCTATATATTGTTTAATATCTGTTTCTTCAATTATTGTTGCTCTTAGGTTAAACAGTTAATTAACCCTTTGACCTTTTTTATTGTATCTTTTTCAATAATAGTCACTTTTTGTTTGAGGGTTAGTTTATGCGAAATTTTATAAACCCTCCAAAATTCTATTAAATCTATATTTTTAAGTTTCCTTAATTTAAAAGATTTGTTTAACTCTTCTTTTCTTCTTTTTTATCCTTCAAACTCAAACTTTAAGCTTTTATTTTGAAAGTTTTGAAAAAGATAGAGAGAAAGAGTTTGAAGGCTAAGGGAGTTGAGGAGAACCGAAGAGGAGTGGAGTTAGTAAAAATCTACCAAATTGAAGGAACTTAAAAATATAAACTTAAAATGAGAATTAATAAAATCTCCTTCCCTCGTATAAAAACTTTCAAACAAGAATTATCATCACTTAAGTCTTTTTTTGATTTTATTTTTTTTAAAAATAACTCTCAAACAAAGTCTAAAATTTTAAAATTTTAAGTTAAACATTATGTTATATATTTTAGAGAGTAAAACTTTAAACAAGAGAAATAAACTATTATATAAATTTTTAATATTTTAAAAATGAAAAATTTTGAATGTTAGATTTCTTTTCTTGATTTATTTTTTATTACCCTATCAAGCAAGGATGTTATGTAATGTATATGAAAATAATACAAACACAAAAGGAAAAAAAATGTTGAATTATGTGTTCAAAAGATTTTAACAAAACTTTAAAAAATCAGCAATATAAAAATAATCCAGAGGAGACTTAGGAAATACTAATTGCTCAAAAAGTCAGTCATGTAACCATTCAAACAAACACTTCTTAAGGAATGATATTTTACACTTTTATTTTATTTATATAAAAAACTCTTTAGGCTCTTAAACTCAATTATCCTTTTTAACAATTTTTTTTAATCTTTACCCACATTAAAATAATAGAAAAACTAATTTTAATGTTATCTTAAAGATATACAAGAAGGCTTAGTTGTAGCATCTAAAGTTGAACTAAAAGTTCAACAAACACTAACTATAAGCTCTAAGGAGTGAATAACAAGAGAAAAAAATTACCATTTTAAATTAATATATTTCTCTTATATATCTTTATTATTTATGAAATAGTTAGAAAATAGAAGAAGGAAGATTAAATATATTTTTTTAAAAAAAATTGTTTGATAGAAATAGTTGAAAAAAGCATACCCAGAGATTTATATTGGTTCACTTTTAAATTCAAAGGTTATGTCCAATCTTTAACATACAATTAAGAATTTTTATTATTAATAAATATTACAACTTATATATCTCAAACTGAGTATTTTATCAATCTCTTTAAATTTAAACAACCCTAAGTATTATTTAACAATACTACATCTCTAGACAATAAAAAAAGCACACACACTTTGAGTGTTTTTTTAAATGTCTTCTCAATCAACTTATTAACGTCTTTTTTATAAAGAAAAGTCTATATATAAAGAATAAAAAGTTTAAGAAAATTTGATGCTAAGTGTGATTTTATACTTTTTGTATCTCTTTGTTACTTTTTACATATGTTTTTCAAAAATGTATTTGTTAGACATAATTATTTATCTTTTAGACACATCAAATCACCTTTATGTAAATTTTTATGATGTGTCCAACCTATTTTTGTACTATTTGTATTAGTGATATTTTTGTACTCTTGACTTTTTTTATTTTTTGGCGGTGTAATAAGCAGATAGAAATACATAAATTAGTTTTATCTACATAAGTATCTCTATTTTTCTTGATATTTGCTTTGATTTTTCTTTACTTTCGTACAACTTTTTAGATAGTTTGTTGGGTTGTTGATAGCTTTAACCTTCTTCAAATCATATTATATTCAATGAGTCTTATGTCGTTTATTAAATGGTTAGTTTGTCTATTAAATACTAAAGTACTTAAATAGACTAATCAATTATCTCAAATACGTGAGTCTCATTCCTTTTCTCTCTTCTGTTGTAGTGTTACTTTGTTTATTCCTCTATTTTTATTCTTTAAACATTGTCTCAGAGTTAAAAAACTAACAATTGGTATCAAAACTCTCTTTTTATGGGACCTATAGAATGGAATTTGAAACAAGTTTTTTTCAAGTTGCTCTTCCATGAGCAAAACTATGACCTTTGAATAGTGAGAATGGAGTCTTATCTAGAGGCATTTGATCTTTGCAAAATTGTAGAAAAGGATTATGAAGTAGTTTCGTTGCAGGACAATCCTACTACTGCCTCAATCAGATATCACAATGAGACAAAAACAAGAAAGGAAAAAGAAAAGGCATGTCTAATTGCTGGTGTTTCTCAAGCCATCTTCACAAGAATCATGGCCCTCAAATCAACAAAAGTAATTTGAAAATATCTGAAGATATTAGAGATAAAAGAATTTGAAGAATGTAGGTGCTTAATTTAATGAGAGAATTTAAGTTCTAAAAGATAAGAGCCTGAGACAAAAAAGGAACACACAAACAGACTATTGAGTATTGCCAACAAGATAAGATTGTTGAGCATTGATTTTGCTAATTCCAAAATTATTGAAAAAATTTGGTAATGGTACTTGAGATGTATGAAGTGTTCATAACTTCATTGAAAAACATAAAAGATTTGTCAAAGATCATTTTGGCTAAAAATACTACATGCCTTATAGGCACAAGAGCATCTTCTAGCCAGGCATCATAATGTTGGACCTAGTAGCACTAGCAATATTTCAAACAATCAAAACAAAGGCAAGGATAAAAGGAAAATTTACTCACCTTGTCAACACTGCAAAAGAATAGGTCATCCACCGTTCAGATGTGGGAGAAAACCAGATGCAAAATGCAGCAAGTGCAATTAAACAGGGCATGAAGCTATCATTTGCAAGAATACAGATCAACAAGATGAAGCAACTAAGATCATTGACCAAGAGGAGGAGGATAAACTCTTTGTGGCTAAATGTTTTGTAGGAAGTGAATTAAGTGAAAGTTGTTTGATTGATAATGGTTATATCAACCACATGACCTTTGACAAGACACTCTTTAGAGATTTAAGAACAACTAACATTACCAAAGTCAAAATAGGCAATGGTGATTATATCTTAGCAAGAGAAAAGGAACAATCATAATTTTAACAAGTTTACGTATGAAGATAATTTCATATATTCTTTATGTACTTAATATTAACCAAAATTTGCTTAGTGTTATTCAATTGATAGAAAAAGGATTTAAAGTATCCTTTGAATATCAGTATTGTCATATCTATAACAATAATGGCCAGGAGATTCTACGGGTTAAAATGAAAGGTAAAAGTTTTTCATTTGATCCAACTGAGGAGCAACAAGTGGCTTGTTTAGTTGAAGTCATCTATCTACTAATAATTTATGAAGCATTGTTGAAGAAATTATTGACAATGAAGTGATTAATTTTGTGGTCACACATAATTTTAAATTACCTTCGAGGAGGGTCAAAAAACTTGCATATGATTTAGAGAAAAAAAAATTCTACAAAGTCAGAGAGTTAAAGGGCTAAGAAAACAATGCCATTTGCTTTTAGTAAGTGTACACAAGTTCAATTTTTACTAAAAAGAAAAATTCATGTTCTGTTCAGTCAAGTTACTATAAATTTAAAGATCAAATGGCAAATTTATTCATTTAATCACTTCGAGCAAGTAAATTTGAGTTTCTAATATACAAAGTTAGTGTTTAAAGCTCCTAAAACAATAAGGAGTGGTAGAAAATTACTTTATGACTGCAATTTAGTTTTTTATTTATTTGTTGTTTGCTGATTTAGTGTTAAATTATTGTCCTAGTATTTAGGAAGAAGTTAAGTTTCTTTAATCGTGTTATTGACAGTGGTTTCATTTTAGTTGTAGTAGTTATTTTTCTTATGTGTTAAATTATAATATTTTGCTGAACTTAATGCAATGTCCAATTTTTTTCTTTCGTTTGCACATGTGAGTCTCATTCCTTTTCTCTCTTTTTACTATATTGTTGCTTTGTCTATTTCTCTATTTTTGTTTTTTAAACATTATTCTCTCAATTAAAAAACCAACATTCATAAAAAATAATTGTAATTTTTATCTTACACTTCCTATTTTATTTTGAACTTGATTTTAAGAATTTATAACAACACCTCCTTTATGCAAAACTAGAAGATGTGAACAACATGACTTCAAGTCTCTTTAGTAAATAAATGTATGGGAACATCTTGTAAGTTAGGCTTCATGATTAATAATTTTACAAATTGTATAAATAAAATACCCTTTTAATCTTAGTCCTTTAGTTAGAGTATGATTTGATTTGATTTTAAATGAGGTTGCACATGAAAAAAAAAAAAAAGGTCATCACATAAAATTGTGCAATCTTTTAAACACTTTAGTGAATTCTTTTAATTGCATCTTAGTTTTTGAAGACTTCAAACTCTTCTGTTATGCTTTATTAGATTATTCTCATAGCTCTTCGAATGCTTCTTTGATTCACACACAGAAAATCTTCGTAAGTTGTCTAAGATCTTCTACTTCATATTTCAATATTCTTCAAGATTATTTAATATCCACATACTTACTTAGATAAAAAAATGTTATACAATTTCATCTATTATTTAAAGTTAGTGACTTTGTTAAAAATTTTAGATGCCAACAAATTTTGGACAATTTTATTTTAACATTAAAAATATGTTAAATTTCAGTAACCTATAAATAAAATTTTAAAATTATAATTAAAATATATAAATAATTTAATAAATAATATAAGTAACTTTGATTCAAGAGAAAAAGAATAGATTTAAGAATTAAAATTGAACGTATAGAAGGATGATATTAGAAAAAGATAAAGAAAGTCTTGACAGGAAAAGAAAATTTTAAAAGCAAGTAAAACTAATACTCAAGGGGAGAAAAAAGAAATCATAACGAAAAGAAAATTAAAAAAAATAATTTTTAAAACTTAAAAGATATTAAACAATAGTACAGTTACATATGATGAGAGAAAAGAATAGAAATCGAAAAGTCCCCTTTCCTCTTGGTTCTTGTGTTTTTGGTAGCATAAGAAGATAAACAAAAGTACAGAGACAACACAGACAAAATCCGGAAGGAGCAAAGTTGTGATGATGAGGGAAGATTAGGGCACACGTTAGGGAATTCTCTCCTTATACACCACGTTTAGTCATTATGTCTACCCATGCATTCACCTCTTCCCATCTTATGTTTATCTCATCGTTCAGCTTAGCCTTATTTTCAGGCAATTTGATGTCAGTGATGGATAATACAACCTACCCCAGGATTATATGATTATACATAAATACCTGTGATTATAAGATTAAAAAATTTATGTAATTACCTTTAGAAAATCACACACATATTCAAATAACAGTAGAATGACAGAAAATGTCATCTCAATACACACGTAGCCTCTTCGTATCCTTAGAAATACATCTAAAAAGTAGAGGAAACGATTAAAAGATACTTGGTACCGTTAAGGTAAAGTTGTAGAATGAAGACTTCTCTTTTTCTGTAGTTGATTTTTTTTCGGTGTAAGGCTTCTCTTTTTGCATATTTCCTTTTGGGAAAAGGACCAATGGTATCATTAAATCACTAGCATCCTATGACATGGAACGGATAAGAGTGCACCCAAAATAAAATATCATTTGTTTTAATTTATTTATAAATTTATATAAAATTTATTCTCAATATCATTTAAACAAGATCTCAAAATATTTAAAAATAAATAAATAAGAAAAAAAAGTAATAATAAGGTCCACATAAACATTGGGTGAAGATATTTTGCTTAAAAATGTGTAGGCTACAGTATCCATGTGGCATATTCTAAAAGCTTTAATTAGATACTATGTTGCATCGTTATTCTTATTTTATTCGCCTGCATACGCCAACGGACTCAACTAACTTGTGGGCTCCGCAAGCTTTATGCTTTTTATAACACACTTTTTTTCTTCTTTCTTTTACTTTCATACAAACATTTTTAATCGTCTTCAGCTAATTTATGTTATTTTTTTATGATGTAAATATACAGAAAAATTTTAAAAATAATATTTTTATCTGTAATATTAATTTTCAGTAATGCAAATGCTAGAGAATTTTTTATTCAAATATTTTATTTATTATTTATTATCTAAACTAAATATAGTTTCAACAGTAAAACTGATTAAATAATTTATATTAGTTGCTTTAGTATTTTTATTTATTCTAAAATCACGTGAAATGATTTTAAATTATTAAATATATATTTAAATTAATTTAAATGTAAAAAAATAATTATAACTAACTTTTTCTTATCTTGCAAAATGCTAGCTACCATTCAATTCCACTTTGCTTTTATGATAAAAAAAAATATATATATTAATTATTTTCAACTGACAGGCTGTTATTACAGCTAATAATTTCGTCCTTTACAGTTGTACTGTATTTTGTGCTCTGTATATATTATTATTGCCTGTCGTAATCTTCTTCTTTTTTTATCTCAATTTTAAATTACGTTTTGATTTAGAAGCTTTTTTTTTATTGTTTTTACGTTTAGAAAAATCAAATATCACTATTTTTTTTGTTTTAAAGATATTATTATTATTGTTATTATTATTATTATGGATGGTTGAAGAGTTTGATTTATAACGTTGCGGTAAATTTTAAAATATATATATGATTGTGATTAAGGAATTGCGTTTTCTCTTCATTATATTAATCAAGAAAAACTACTAACTAAACACATTGATTAGTGCAAAACTATTTGAAGTTAATTAATGATTTCAAATTCGAATGTTCAATTTATCTCAACTATCAAACCATTCAAGAATCAAAGCCAATTACTGAAAAGGACTAAGAATCTCTTAAAAATGAAAAACTGAGATTAAGCTTAAAACTAAATAAACTAATAAATTATTTAGATTTACGAGAAAAGAATATTTTTCTTAAACCGAAGAGTGCCAAACGTGTCGTTGTCGAATTGCACTGTGGCACATGTTCAATCATTGTCCGAATTAACGAACAAAAGTTAGAAGGTACAACATTTTTTAAATTTGTTTCATATTTTTTTGTGTAATGAAATATATGAATGAAAATTTGTAAAGTATTTGTAATTTATTGTTGAAAATTTTAATCTTTAATATTATAAATATGAAAGTCAAAAGAAACAATCTTCAACTACTGATGAATGATGATTAAGGAATACTCTTGACAGTAAAAAAAAAAATTTAATTTTAGTGCGTTGTTACACAATTAATTAATAAAATATATTTTAAATATAATTATTACAAAAATAATTTTTTACTAATATGATAATTTATTATTAAATGTTAGTGTAAAATTTTTTCCATTGTCAGCATATATAAATTAATTTCAAAAAATTACAAGCATTTTAAACAATTCATAAAAGTTATTTGATTTAAAACTATAGAAACATTTGCGTTAAAAATTTAAAATATTTAATTAGACCTAAGAATTTCTTTTTTAATTTCTCATAATATATTTTATTTAATTTCTTTCAATTATTTTGTCAATAAAACTTACCTAAATACATTTTAACTAAAACCTTATCATTTAATTTTATATTGACTTTTATTTAATAAAATGTTGTTAAATAAGTAATTAATTATTTTTTATTAAAAAAATCAATTCATACCGGGTTTAGTAATGTCCACTCTTTTAATAAAATAATTAATAAAAACAAACACATAATTTTTAAAAATAAATTACAGAGGTATACCAATTAATTCTTATAAATAAAAAAGTTAATGCTGAAATACTCAATTAGGTAGGAAATTTCCCTTTCCGGTACATTTGCCGGATACTGGCCTTACTCTGTGTCTGATTTAGAGAGAAAAGACAAAACAAAACAAAACAAAAAATAATTTGACAAAAAAAAAAGTGAAAATTAAAATTAAAATTCTTCAAATAAATTTTCTAACATAACAAATATTTTTATCAAAAAACTGAAAAATCTCATATATTAATAATATTTATTATTTTTAAAATAAACCTTGACTATTTATTAATTTTTATTTTATATCTTTAAACACAAAAATAAAATAAAATGTAGATGTATCGTTTTTTAAATATTTTAAACATTATTTTGTAAGTCAAATAAAATTTTATTTCAATAACATACAATAATATTAAATATAAATATGCTATTAAATTAACAAATTAATTTTAATTAACTGATAAAAAATATTTAAAAAATTACCTAAATTTGGTTGATAAAAAATTATTTTTAAAAAAATAAAAAAATGAAGATGAATGAATATTTTTTTTAATTTTGCTTTTCTTTTCTTACAAAGTATATATGTATATTGCATCACTCATTGAGTCTCATCATCTTCTTGGTTCATTCACTCACTCACTCACTCACTCACTTGCAAACAGAACCAACCACCATTCCACAACAATGGCGGAACCCAAAACCAAAAGCTACATTTCCTCAGAAGAACTCAACAAACACAACAAGCTCGACGACGCATGGATCTCCATCCACGGCAAGATCTACGACGTCTCCGACTGGCTCCACCGCCACCCCGGCGGCCACCTCCCTCTCCTCACCCTCGCCGGACAAGATGCCACCGACGCATTCCTCGCCTTCCACCCTCACACGGTGGCACACCGCCTCGCTCCACTCTTCACCGGCCACTTCCTCCGTGACTACACCGTCTCTGCCGTCTCCTCCGATTACCGCACCCTACTGAACCACCTCTCCCGCACCGGCCTCTTCGAACGCAAGGGCCACGGCGCGTGCGTTTCACTACTCTTAATTCTCTGCCTCCTCTTAATCAGCCTCTCTGGCGTCTTCTTTTCGGACCGCATGTGGGTGCACGTGGCATCGGGCGCGTTGATAGGGTTTATTTGGATTCAGAGTGGTTGGATTGGGCATGATTCTGGGCACTATCAGGTTATGTTGAACCGGAGGTTAAACCGTGCGGTTCAGATTCTCTCCGGTAACTGTCTCGCCGGAATAAGCATTGGGTGGTGGAAGTGGAACCACAATGCACACCACATTGCTTGTAATAGTCTTAACTTTGACCCTGATCTTCAGCATTTACCTTTCTTTGTTGTGTCATCAAGGTTCTTTAGTTCACTAACTTCTTGTTTCTACGAGAGGAAGATGAATTTTGATGCGTTTGCTAGGTTCTTGGTTAGTTACCAGCATTGGACATTTTACCCTGTGATGTGTTTTGCTAGGATTAATTTGTTCGCGCAGTCTTTTATGTTGTTGTTGTCTAAGAGAGATGTGCCTAATAGGGCTGTGGAGCTTTTGGGGATGCTTGCGTTTTGGGTTTGGTACCCTTTGTTGGTTTCTTGCTTGCCCAATTGGGGGGAGAGGGTTTTGTTTGTGGTGGTTAGTTTTTCTGTTGCTGGGATTCAGCATGTTCAGTTCTGTTTGAACCATTTTTCTTCTAATGTGTATTTGGGTCCACCGAGTGGGCATGATTGGTTCGAGATGCAGACTAATGGGACTCTTGATGTCAAGTGTTCTGCTTGGATGGATTGGTTTCATGGTGGGCTGCAGTTTCAGGTGGAGCACCATTTGTTTCCGCGGTTGCCACGGTGCCATCTTAGGAAGATTGCGCCTTTGGTTAGGGACCTTTGTAAGAAGCACAATCTTCCTTACAATTGTGTGTCCTTCTGGAAAGCCAATGTGCTCACGATTCAGACGCTGAGAAAGGCGGCGTTGCAGGCTCGGGATGCGTCTAATCCTGTTCCCAAAAATTTAGTTTGGGAAGCTGTTAATACTCATGGATGAATGAGCTTGAGTGAAGCTTCGTGTGGTTTTGCTGTCATTGACTGTTTGGTCAAGGTGTGATAACTGAGGGTGATAGGTAATCCTTGGTTTTGAAGAGAATAATTGATTTGCAGATTGCTTAGAGGCTTCAATTGCTCGGTGTGTTGGTAGCAGGATCAGCTAATCTTCTTTTGAAAAATAGTTAAGGAAACTACTGATACTGGTCATGGTTTAATACCGAATAGTCCTATATCGTTTTATGCTCCGCACTTCATGTCTGAGAATGGGATGTAAGTACCGTGTTTATTCTTTGTCTGCTTTGGCAGTTTGATTTCATTATGCGTCCAGGGGTCTATCTACTACAACTACATAACCATTTGTGTTATGCCTTGGAATAGTACATTGTTATTTGGAACAAAAAATGTACCATATGTTAAATTCAAGTTCTCTGAATTGATATTTGTCATTTCTTGCTTCTTGTTTAGTTGCTCCTATCAGTTTGGTTAGACTCTTAGTAGTCATACAATCAGATGGTTGCAAACTGTTGCTTGTATTGCGATATAGTTTGTTATTTATAGAAGATTTCACTTTTAATTTATGGTCACGGATGGATGGGGGTGACATGATCTTTGCTCTTGCAGAAGGGTATTAAGTGCTGCTATTTTCCCGAGCAAATTAATACACCAAAAACTACCTACTTTTCAGTCTCTCCAACCTAATTCAAATTCTACCAATTTGTAACTCTGAAAAATGTAAAATATTTTGTCATGTGTAATAATAGCATTGAAAAATGCAACCTGTTGTGTTAGAAATCTTGTGTCTTTTGTTTATTTACTATTATCTGTGGTGGTGTTGTGCCTACTTACAGTCATTTCATCCTCAAGGTTTTCATGTACATGTTTCTATCGGTGTGCTGTACTGTATTATTGTTGCATGTTTGCCCTTTTAATGCATGAACTGGTAGGAAGCTGACTTGTTCCTCAAGGTGGCAAGAAGCACCCAAACGAACTCTATCAATGATACTACTATATGATTCCATTTCTCCCTTTAAGCAAATAGCAAAGACATGAGCTATGTTACCCCGAGCTGTTTGTCACGGTTGCAAAACATAAGCATGAACTCGAAATAAAAATGATTGTCATGGTTGCATGTCTATAGTTGAGTTCAAATGACAAACTTGCGTATTTATCTATTTACCTGCTATTATATTAAATATATTATTTCACAAAATCACATTTTCTTTTCACTCAGTAAAACAAGGTGGGAAATCATTTTCGTTCTCTTGATCCAGTACATATTTTCTCATTTTCTTTTCCCTCTTATCCAGTATATAGAAAGAAAAGAAATATAACCATTCAAGTCAGAATTCTCTTGATGCCGCCTAGGCCCTCGATCTTGCTTATGCCTATGACATTTCGAACAGCTTTTTTCAAAGAAAAGAATCACATTTTTCAAAAGCACTCGGAAAACTGACAAAAATAATTATTTTCTCAAAGTAAGCTGAACTAAATACACATTAAGATGCATGAGCTCCCATCCTTATGATCGCCAAGTTAGAGTAGTTTTGTTGTCTACAGATTCCTCTGTATAGAGACGGTAAAACCAGCAATCAATGCGTTGAGAGGAAAATTGCCTCCATTATATAGCTAAACTTGTTAGCTGAACCCGTTATGGAAGAGAAGCGTCTTACGAGGTTTACAGAATCATAGGGTGTTTTTCACTTGCTCATATGACTTTGCTGCAACATCTCAGGTATCCAGGAGCAATTGCATCTATCATTTTTTTTTCTCTCCACCTTTTCGTGTTGTATCTTTAAGATCTCCAATTCTGTTGCAAATCCAATGATTATATAAGAAAAAGAATCCAAATCTCTTCTGAGGGAATGACAGTTAGAAACAAAGAAATTAAAAAAAAAAAAAAACTGGGAGTAATTGATACCCTAATTTCTACAAGGAATTAAAAGAACCATAAAATAATAAGATCAAATACCTTTGAAACTTAAGTTCCCTGTAGATGAGCATTACACCAAGTACAAATGGGATCAGCACTAAGCACAAGTGTTCCAAAGAGTGTCCACTGATAATATAGTTATTTACATGCTACAGTTTCTTGTCAGCAACAGCTTCAAATTTAGCTAGCAGATAAATCCCTGTGCCAAAAAGTTTAGTCAAAACATATCCATAATTTAATAGTATATAGCTATTTCTTAACAAGATAATATCCTAAATTCATGTCAGCAGCCAAGTATTATTGTGGTAGATATTCACCCCACCTCTGTAAGTAGAGAATGCATCTAAAAAGTTACCAACAGCCAGAAGAGGAAACAGAAGACCTTTACTAACAGTTTATCTCTTCAATTGCAGACTCCTATTTCATTTCTAAACTTCATTTACTAATTATGACAATTCCCAAGAGAGATTACATTATACATAAATAAGCACTAACCAAACAAAGCTTTGATTCTAATTGCCAGGAAACAAATGCTACATATTCAAGTGTTTTATAAATGTATACGACAATTTTCCCCTGGATTCATATACTAAAATTAAAACAGCATAAACCACACCCATGATTAATTATTTATTCATCAAATATCCGATATTACATAAGTAAAATAAAGTAAGAAAGTGTGCAAGGCATACCTATTCATGAAAACCAATATCTTGAATGAGTATAGTTAGAGTGATACATAGATGCTACTAGTGCAATCGCTAGAGGAAGAATAAACTGGAACACCAAGCAGAGCCGTATATCATCATAAATCCTGCAACCAGCTAGCACAAATAATTCAGTATAAATTTGGTTAAAGGTTCGGCACCTTGAGGCACAAGAATTCAAAGAGAGAATAAGCATGAAATCATTAAAAAAAAAAACTAACCGTCATAAAATACACAAATAAAGGCAGCCAAAAGGAGTGCAAACATACAGCATAACCCAATACACTGGCTGATCCTCTCAACAACCAAAACAGATAAAAGAGATTAGTATACCACCATCATCTGCCATTGACAAAGCCAAGAGCTTCTTAATGAAAGGGAAACAAAAGTACTCCCTCTTGATTTGCAACTAACAAGAGAAGTATATTCAGCTTTTTGTTGTTAACCAACACCTTTATTCACTAAGACCACTGGTTTAGGGGAAAAAAAGGTTATTAAAAAGTATTATTAATGCACTCATACCATGATTTATATAATGCAGTTCTAGCATAATTTTTAATAAAAACTTTTTAATTTATAACTTCTTAACTAGTATCCTTATAAAAAAAAACATAAATATATTTAATTATTGGTTATTTTAGGGTGTGTTTAAGGGACACACAATAAGAATTTATATTTAGTATGTTTTTATTAAAAAATACAAAAGATCACAAAATTCAAAACATTGATAAAATGAATCTACAATTTTCGTAAGAACTTACTATTTATTTATTTTTAGTATGTGTCATTGAACATACATTATAAAAACTATTTAATTATTTATACACTCTCCAATCCTATTTACGAAAAAGAACTACCACTCCTTTTTGGTCCAAAATATAAAAAACAGAGGCTTTGTCCAAATGTATTAATTTCTAAATTTTTGTATACCTTATTGTGAGATTTATATTAACCAAACACTCACCCATTACCCGTTTAAGTAGATAGATACATTCATTTAATGTTTGAATAATCAATTCGACCATTGATTACTTTCAATAATTTTAAAAAACAATTTTTAAATTTAAGACTTATAACTATCTTTTATTAATCTTAATCAATTACATATTTATTTCTCATAAGAAGTAAGAGAGGGAGTTTAATACCAACCGGTAAAGTGTCCCACAGCACACGGTAATTATCGGGCTTCAAATGGCAGTAAGTGGAGCCGAAAGCCACTCCTGCAATTCCAATGTAGAATAGAACCCAACACCACACCTCTGCTTGAGAACTAACAACACCAACAACAACCAATTCCCAAGCACAAACAAACGATGCCCGTTATAACATTTTAATTCAAAATTAAAAATTAAAAAAATACACTAGTGTTAGAATTAATGTTAGTTAGAATGATCATAAAAAAAAGGAAAAAAAAAAGAGTAACCTTGTATTGAAAACACTTCCTTCGAGAGCGAGAACTAAGCCGAGAATACCCACAAGCAAAAATGGGAAATTTGTGATGACATTCAACGTGTTAGGCACTCCTGTGCAACACCCACACACCCAAATCATCAAAACTAAAAGAGATGAACATTTGGGTTGAGAGAGGGTGATGAACTTACCTATAAGATTGCGCAAATCAGCGAATCGATTGAGGTTGGGAGAGAGAGGGATTGGAGGAGTGAAGAGAAAAATTGAGATAAGTTAGAGAAATGCTGATACCAAAACGCCACTTCTCTTCCTTCTTCACAAAATGCATGTCCAACTCCTACCCATCATTCACTCGTTCTTTTAGTTTTAAAAAATAAACAATCGGATCCCCTCATCGCATTAAGTACTCATTTTAACCCTTTTATTAAAATTTATTTATTTATTTATTTATTTATTAAAATTAATAAAAAATTATATATTATAAATATGGTTTTAATTTTTTTTTTTACTTTTTATGTTTATAATTTTTTAATTATGAAATAATTTCATATTTTCAAAATAATAAATAGATTTATTTTTTATTTGATACATTATATTACCTCTAATTTTTTTATAAGAAATAAATATTTAATTTGTATAATTTAATAAAAATTATTTCTATTTAATAAATTTATAATTTATTTTAAAAATATTTTTAGTATTAACTAATTAAATTAGTATTTTATATATTAAATAAATATATATTTTTTGTTAATTTAAATTTTATAAAAATAAAAATATAGCAATTGATAAATTTTAAAACGAATATTTATTTTTTTATGAAAAATAAAAAAAATATAATTATTTTTATATTAAAAGTGATAAATTATTTAAATAACTGTTAAAAAAATTATTGAGAGAATATAATAAAGTTCATGTTATAAATTGATGTTATATTTTTAAAATATTTATAATATTAAATGAAAAAATTAATTTGTTATATTTTAAATATATATATATATATTATGTATATTAATAAAAATAAGAATTTTGTTAAAATAAATATCACAATAAATAAGCGTATAAATAAATTTAATAATTAATACTTTTAAATATTTTTTTTTCTTATAAATAAATAAATTTTTATTAAAAAAATTAAAAGAAATAATATAATATAGTTATACTAAAAAATTACAAAAAAACAGAATCTTTTAATTGAATAAAAACATCTCATAATTAGTTATAAATCTACTGATTAAACCTAATAAAAATTATATCTTTCTCTTTTTAATATAATTATATTATATTATTAACATTAAATATATATATATATATATATATATGAGAAACTCTTATACTAAATCTAAATTTTTTGTTTAATTTTTGTTATTACGAGTTATATATATATATATTAACGTAAAAAAATATTTATTTATTTTCATACATATATTTACGTAAATTCTTATAAGTTAAAATATTATTATATCGATAATTTCATATAGAATGTTATTTATTAATTTAATCATTAAAATATAATAATTTATGCTAAATTTATAAATTTTGTATAAAAAATTATTAAATTTTTGTTTTTGTATGTTTAAATATATATATTATATTATATTAATATATATAAATGAATTAAATAAATTTATATAAATATATTTTATAGTAAAAATTTTGAATCAAATAGTTGTAGTTAAAATAAAAATATTTAAGTGTAAACATATTTAAGAGTTTTTTAATCAAAATTAAAAAATCTCAATTAATAATAACTACTCTTTTTTTAGAAGACTTTTCTTGCATTAAGATTGAAAATTATTGAGAAACTTTATTAATATATTTTTTATACTCTTAATTATTACTTAAAATTTATTAAAAATTATATATATATATAAAGATAAAAAAATTTATAACAGTATAAATTTAAAAAAATTTATATTTAATTTAAGTATTTTATTTAATTCATATCTTATAGCTAATAAAATAATAAATTATAACTTATTATGTATAAATTAAATAAAAGATTTAAATTTAATATAAAAAATTTTATATCGAAGAAGATCTTTTTATATATATATATATATATATATATATATATATATTAATTTATTATTTTTTATTTATTTATCTAAAAGATTGTCTATTTTTAAAATTGAAACCGTCCGATCTTCATCTAACGGTTGTAAGTTTTTGACAACACTAAACACGGCCTTTTTCCAAGGCATTAAATCCGCTTTACTTATTTGCATTTTCAATTTCATATTTTTTATTTTAGTTTAGTTGGCTTGTTTATATAAATGGGTAAGAAATGTTAACAATTTGTCTAAATAATAAAAAAAATATTTAGAAAGTGCCCCAACCCATACACAAACATGAAATAAAAACTAATTACCTTTCAAATGAAATGAAATGAAATGGTAAAACCATTTTAAACATTATAAATATATTTTTTAAAAGAAACTATATTATTTAACGTACTGTTTTTGCATATTTAATATACTATTTTAAATATATTTTTATTATTAACTAAAATTTATATGAATTTTCATTTTATTTTAAATCACACTCATACTTTCACGTTTATAATTAATTTAAACCGATAATTGATTACGTATTAAAAATATACTAAAAAAGAACCTTTTTAACACTTCTTTACAATAAATATTTACTCATTTTAATTTTGTCGGTTCTCATGATAACAAGTTTTCTTTTCACTTGATATGTGGATGTCAATGATAGATCAAATAACAATGGGAGCCACAGCAGAGAAAAAGAAGCAAAAAGCAACTGAATGAACAGATCAATGTGCTTTCCATCCATCGTTAGCATGGAAGATAGA